TAGGTTTGAGTCAACTTCAAAAAGTTCTTACTAAGTCAACTCAAAAACCAACTTCAATAAACTTTTTAACAACCCTATTAAAATTAATTAAATTCTATTTTTTGATTAGAAACTCTAATTTAAAACATTTAATCTTTTATAAAAACAGTTTTATTAAAAACTATTAAACACCAAATATTAAATTAGATATGTATTGGATTTGTAAAACAACTATTAATATAATTTTAATACAAATACAAAATTATATGCTAATACTAATTACACTAAACATAAGACAATTTTATCACTTTTTTTAGTTATTTCATTAAATATTATTATTATAATTTATCTTAATAACCAAATAATAATTAAAAACTTACAACATATCTTTTTTTTAAAACAACTATATATTAAAAATTATGATATTATTTTCTTTATTAATTATCTCAAAAATCTTAAAAATCTTAATATATAATTTTTAAAAATTAAATTATATACAAATTTATTTTATAACCAAGCTAACTTACTAGTTAAAAGAAGAACTTTTAAACCTATTCTTAAACTATTACTACCAATTACTTCAACCTATTTTTTATAGAATAATCATTTTATACTATTCAAAATTTATATTTTTATTAAAAATATTATTACAATTCAAGAGATTTTATCCTGATTCATACTTAAATATTTTCAAACCATTTTTGAAACTAACTAAGCTTTCAACTTTTAAATAATCAGATCTATAAAACATGATATACAAAAATATTCTTTTTATATCAAAATTTTTACAAACAATTTGCCTATTATAGAAAATCTTAATATTTAATATCTTTATTTATGCATAACATCAACTTGTTTCTAATATATAAATCTTAAAGATATATTTTATCTTATATTCTATACAGACAATAATAATAATATAAACTAAATAATTCTTAATATTATTTAATTAATATTTATTTTACTTTAAATATCTAATAGTTTAATATTCTCTAACTTTAATATAATTATAAACTTATAACTAATTATACCAATCCTAATTACTAATTAATCTTATATATCTTATTTGACACCTTCTTTATAACAATCTATAATAATATTAAAACAAACAAACAAATACTTTTTTGATTAACTTTACTAACAATTTTTTTATTTGATACTATCAAGATCTATGATTCATATGTAACATATTCCAACATTAATGAGAACTTTCTCAAAATATAACTGCTAAAATTAAATATACAAAATTCATTTTCCAATAATATCTACCTCTATTAATAATTTTTCAAATATTACAAAATCTATTAATACTACACACTTTATTAACAAAAGATTTTTATAAGATTTTACTTTAATTACATATATTATATAATATTCTGACTCTCATTTAAGATTTTCTTTAACTTATTCTAATTAGATAATAATTTGAAATAATTATTTATAATACTTATTAGGAAATAGAAAGTGTAATATTATATTAGATATTTACTTTAACAACACAAATATAATTTAGAAATTTTTATTTTAAGAATTTTTTTATAATTAAATTTTTTATTGTATCTTAAAGTTTCTATTATGATATTATATAAATAAAAAAAAAATAAAAAACCTCTAGGATTAATAGCATAATAATTATACTTTGAAATCACAAATTATAAGATTGTTAGTCCTAATAATAGTAATTGTAAAGATGTATTTCTAAATAGAGAACTGCAATACTATGACATCAAGAATCCAAGACATCATCAGACAAACTTATTTCTCGAAAAGATAAATGATCTACAATTAAAAAACCATCTGATAATGAACATGAGTTAGAATATCTGATTTGGAATAATCAAAATTATAAGATGTAATGTAAGACTGAAAGTCTGACAATGAAAAATATTACATGAACTTATGATAACAGTCAGTTCTAGATAAAACCTGATGAAACTCTCTAATTCTGACAGGAATCAGTATGACAAATCACTCTTGAAAAGTTTAAAAAATATGAACCAGAAAAGGTTGAGGTCTAGTGATCAAGAACATTAAGAACATTAGTTTGAAATATAGAACATGAGAATAACCTCAGCAAGATCATCAAAAAAAGAAAAAAATGAAAAAAAAACAAAAAAAAAACAAAGTTTATAGAATTTTTGATTATTTAGCATAGTGAATATTCGAGCTTTTACAAAGCTAAAGATAAAAAACATGCATTTTTATGAAACGTTACATTTTTAAAAGTACTTTAAAATGTATAAATAAGTTACCCGGGTAATTTATTTACATCAGCCAACCAGACGAAATTCCTCCTATGAGTGTATAATCTAGTAATAACAGGCTACTTAATTAGCACACCAAAAATGTACATGTAATTAATTGTACCTTACAATATATTAGGACTGTCCCTGAAAGCACACGTCCGATAGTACCTTGAATAAAGCCTCGTAATCCTGAAGATAAGGACTTTAAAAAAAAAAAAGGTTTCGCTAGACAACTTTACTATACGTATAAACTACATTCCTAACTCTAACCTTACTGAGCACTACAAACCTGGTACACATTTTCTGAGTACGAAAATTTTCATTGGTAATACATTTTTAGTTTATAACATTATATAAAAATTTTTTTTGATTAGTAAATCATATAAACAATGATCTTCGCTTACAATATCCTTAAAACATTAATACGTAAACATTAATACGTAATATTATACGTACGTACTGGAAATGTTTGAAACTCGGCAAAAACAAATGTATGATGAAAATATTAAAAAGTTAGAGTTTGAAATTACAAGAATAAATTATTGCTTTCTATATTTTTACTAACGCCCCAAGGCAGGTTTAAGCATTTTCACTTTCTTTGCTGCGAACGTGTCGGGCGGATCCGGGATAATCGTAATTTTACGTTTTCCGATTGGCCAATTATCCTTTTTGAGCTTGTATAACACTCATAACATGACTAGTGAAAACTTTAATTACAAGTTATATCATGGATTACATGCGGATAATAATTCTTCTTTATTGTCCGAATTGGGAAATTCGGGTTTTCCCCGATTGTTCGGATTAATTTACTTATTTGTTACAAAAACTTTAAAAGGAAATTTAGTATAAAGCACGAATTTATCACTTGTTGTACATAAACTCTATTTCCGTCACTTTTAGGATTCTGTGCCGGGCTGATCCGGAATTTGTACTCCATTTCTTTTCTAGGAGTTTTCTAATTTTAGGATTTCTCTTGGACCTAAGAAGTATCATGTGATTGGCTAGATTTTTTAATTGACATGGTAGCATTTTACTACACTGATTTATTTTTACAAGCTATATACTATAACTTAGAATCGGACCTTTATATATCAAATTACTATTGGTTTAAATCGTACATTCAGACGGTTTTCTAATATTAATTATACCAAATTTGTGTAAAAAAGGATTAAAGACCAGAGTTCAGAAGAAAACTGTTTATGCAAATTTGATCAATGATTATTGGAATTGTAAAGCACTTTTATCGTATGTACTTATGTACGTGGATCAATAATAACAAAATTCATTGAAAATTTGTTATAAGTGCAGTGCTTCGCAGTCTGAGGCGCAATATTTATAAAAATAGACTTTATTAAGGATTTACGAGCTTGTCATTATAAACGAATGAACTTATTTGTGACCTTTGCCGAGACTTAAGGTACATACGTACGAAATAATTTTTTTAAGCAATAAATTCGGATCTGAGCGTTGTGATCAAATCTATGTTTATTCTATTTTTATCGATTATCAATTCCTGTTGTACTATTTATCATTAATAATCTTCAATATTACAATAAAATGAAATTCAAAAAAAACATAAATAGATAAAAACAGCTCGTGAGTTTCCATGTCAGATTTTTCAGAGTATTCAACTATTTAACAATGTGCGATACTGCAAATACAGTTTCAAATTCACCATCTATAGAATCATCTCCTCAAGCGTTGCCCGATTCGGAAACGCTTCCAACAATTAGACCTCCATTCCCACCAGTTATTAAGGTTGAGGATTTAATTTCGCTTAGAGAATCCTCAGATGGTACTCAAATGTTTCCATCTCGAGCTCCAAATGCATTTATAATTTACAGGAAACAATTCGTAAAAGCCGCGCGAGATAGTGGTTATTTTCTACCTATGACAGTAATTTCATCCTTGTGTTCTCGAGCTTGGGAGAATGAGGATGAAGTAGTTAAACTAACATATAAAAAAATTGCGAGGGAAACTTACGTTAAAAGAAAAGAAATGTATCCAAAAACATCTAAGAGAAAAAGAAAAAAAGATCTTTGGAATATTGTTCAATTTAAACCAAAATCAATACCTGATGCTACGAATAATGAATTATTAAAAACTGAACCAAATCTCTTTTACTCAAACCCTAGTTATATCAACAACGGCAGTGATATAAATCAATCTTTTCATAATTCTATTGACTATAATCACGAATCTTTAGAATTCGTGCAATTTAGTAGTAATTATTATAATGATTTCCCATATACATTAGCATATCAAAATATTCAAAATACTTTGCCTTTCGAACCAGCAACTTTTGAAAATGTAAATATCGATTCAAATAATTATTACATTTTCTTACCAGATAACGCGGTAATGTGTACTTCAGATATGTTAGCACCGCAATAGTAAATTTGGTAATTTCCCCAATGGTCAAAATTAGCTGTATCCACTAGCTTTTACAATAGATATGACATTTTTCCATTGACATTTGTTTATTTATTATCCATCTTGTATTTATTTTGTACATATCATCATTATTCTTTGTTCAATTTGTATAAATATTGATTAAAGAAATAGATTCTATTTTTATTGTTCTAATTTTAGTATATGTTACTGTTACGAAAATTTCTAAATTAGAAAATTCGCGAAGTCTACCATGTGCGCACTGATTTATATGAATTAAGAAAGAACTTTTGTATGTATATTCTAGAATTCGTGTAACAAGCATTCTATCTTACTAGTTTATAGTATATCTTTATTATATTTGGTACAATCCCATTCATATAGCATTTTATTTTGATGACTGTTTATTCTCATGGTACACACGTTTGTGCATGCGTGGTACATGCTTAAATAAACATGCATTACCAATTTTCTCAAGTCGCTCCGTTCGCTGTGTAATGTAACTTTGATAACTACAGAATTCATCTAATGCTAATCTATCAATTGTGTTAAAATCGTTAAAAATAGTAAACCTTTACATTTTATTATGTATTTTCAAACTTTGCGATCAAAGTCAAACTCGGATTATCCGCGAATGCCGGTAAAATGCAAATCCAGTTGTAGTATTATTTTGTTTTTATCATTTCTAATTTTACCTTTACCGAAATCACACAATAATTAACTCAAGCTATCGAATTGTGTTTAGATAATACATTGTAATTATAGACAACTTCTGAAACACCTGAAACATTGATAGCTGATAAGATTTTAGCAACTTACTTGATAACGTACGTACGTAACTGGTATCGTTACCTGTTACCTCATGTGAGCTATGAATATAAGATGCTAAAGTGGGCTAGCTTTAAGATTAATTTTAACCTGCATGATCTTAAATTACAAATATAAAATACTAAATTAAGATCAATTTCTATTATAAATTTTTTTTATGTGTATTAGTATATGTGATTTCGAACTTACCTTAACGCTTAGTAATCAAATTATTATTTAATTAGTAAGCAACATAACCGAGTCCACAATAACATGAATGTCTGATAATGCCAATAGCATTATTTTTTTTTTTTTGCATAAGACTATATCAAAGTATTATGCAAGTTCTAATTTCAGCATTGCAAGCTTTTATTGTGATTGGCCAATTTTTGTAGATCATTCCGTGATACTGTAAAAATTTTAGGGAATTACCGACACTATTTATCGACACAGCAAATGACCGGCACTAATGTCGTAAGTAGGAATGGAATTTAAGTGAATTTGGAATTGGGTTAGGCTTAGGGTATTTATATGACAAAATCAACCCCAAAATGTGAGATTTATATAAAAATCCCAAACCCACTTAAATACCGTTTTCACTTACAAGAATAACCTTAACATCATGGTCAGTACTAAGGTTAGTGTTAGAATACGGTAGAATTGGTAATTAGTTTACATGTTTTGCAGTGCCGGTAGCATTTTCACTCAATTTTAATCCTTTCCAGCATAACCATCAAAAAAGAATTGGCATGTGACTTTGGTGGCTAATATATAAACCTGTAACTCACACTTTCTGATAGGCTGGAGAAAGTGTTTGTCAATTTGCGGCATATGCTATTATTCTTTGGTGTCACGTATTATTTCACACCATTATACAACAAAAAAAACTTACAAAGTTTTGTCTAAAAAACCTTTTATGTTTTAATAAAAAAAATTTTTTGCTAATTTTAGAATAATATTTGCCCTTCTAACCCTAGAAATAACAGTAATTAGAAGATGGCAATCTTAGTGTAGTGGTTGGGTTGTCATTCTCCAAGTGGCAGGTCTAATGTTCAAATCCCACCTACAATGAAATTTAGAAATTAATCTGTATTATGGTAACTGTTTCCTATTGATCAGTTAATCTTATGTAGTTGTAATTTAGGTATATCAAGTTGGATTTTACCTGTTATTAGAAGTTTAGAGTATCTATATGAAGTGTAACATTATATGTACATAGAAGAATGTTCTAACTGATGTTGAATAAGATTTTGATACAAATCTATAATAAGATTATTAAATATAAAAGACTAAGAAACCAAGAAGCTAAAAATCTATTTAGAAATTTCTAAGTAAAAAGATAATATAGATTTTTGATAGTATTATTGAGTTAGTTAAAGTTTATAAAACACCTTATAGGAATAAGTAAATAAACCAGATAACAAGATGTATAAAGGAATATATCATCAATTAAGTCACCAGAATCATCAAAGAAAAAAGATATTAAGATATATTATACTGGACTTTCTAGATTAGAAATCTGAGAAATCTATTAGTTTTAAGTTGTAATTAGTAAAAAATGATAGAGAAAATGTCAGAAAGATGGGTACTAGAATTTTAGTAAATTTTACAAAGATAGAAATAATGTAATATAATGGTTAAACAAATAATCTTTGTAATTACAAGTATTAGATAACTATAGTATATTATATAAAATTAGATTAATTGTGTATAAGACATAGCAAACTTTAGTAAGTTTCCTATTAAGAATAAAGTAGTCCTAAGAGTACTAATAAGTATCAAAAACTTGGATGAGCAGTGCTCTGAAGTGTTTTTATAATACAAAAGAATTATATATATAGAGAATTTAAATAGATAGAATCAATAATTATCTTGCAAATATAACATCTAGTGTAAAACTTATATAATACTATATAGACAGACTATTTAAATTAGATACTAAAAATACACATGTGACTAGTTGTAAGCTCCAATATAAGAGAGCATCTGAAGGCATTTGTGTTTTACAAACTTGAATAAAAAAATTACAATCTAAAGATAAAAACTTTAATATAAAAAAAAAGAAATATCAATAATTTTAATTCATAAAATTATCATAAAATAAAATATATTTATATTATAATAAGAAATAAAGAACCTATAGAATCTGTATTTGATTTATATTAAAAGTATATATGAATTTATATAAAAAATAAATTACAGTAAATTAAATAATTTTTGTAATTTGTTTTAATCATAATAAATTACTAAATTTACATTTCTACTTTGATGCAATTTGTATAATATTATAATACTGTAATAAAAATATTAATATAATAAAGTATATGTTATTATAGTTTTATAAATATAAATATTTTTTTTTTATTTTTTTAAAATAAAATTTATATCAACTTATTGTAATATATATAAAATCTTTAAAGATAACAAAATTTAAAAACAATTATAATAATAGTTTTAAACAAAATCAGACTTCTAACAATTATAGTTAAAAAATAAAAAAACAATTGCAAAAAATAATTATAAAAATTAGTTAAAAATTATTAATATAAATTACTTAAATGATATTTTTATAGAGTTTTTAAATATATATAAAAAAATAATCTAAAATTTTGCTTCTATTACTGTATAAAATAACTATTAATAATTATAATTTAATTAAAAAGATTGTAAACAATATTATTAAATTAATTAAAAACATTAATTAATATTTTTAAATATATTAATTTAAATAAAAAATTAATAACATACTGGTATATTTGCTTTTAATAAAATATTTTTTTAAAAAAACATATGAATATCTTAATTTATCAAAATAAAAAAATATTCAATTTATAAAAAAAATTGATTATAGTAGTTTTATATAAATTTTATAAATAAAATTATACAGAGGTGTGATGATCTAGTGAAGTGAATAGGTTGTTAATCCCAATTGACAGGTTTAAGATCTAATTTTTACAGACAATAAATTTTGAAAATTATACCTATGTTATAATAACTGTTTCTTGTTAATTAGTTGAATTTATATATCTATAATTTTAGATACATCAAATCAAAACAACAGAAGTAAATATTTGTGGTTATATAAGCTGCAGATTACTTTAGAAAAATAATGACTAATTAAAAACAATAATTTTAAAAATAAAAAATATTAAAAAAATATTAACATTAAAAAAATACAAAAAAAATACAAATAAAAAAAAAAATCAAATTAAATATTTAAATTTAAAGTTTAAAATATATATTAAATGCTATTGTAATAAATAACAAAGTATGTTTTTTTATTAATTTATTTTATATTAATAGCTAATAACCTAATTTCTACTATATATTATAATAAAAATTAATAATCTTAAAGGTGTAACAACTTAGTAAAGTGAATAAGTTGTCAACCTCCAAGTGGTAGGTTGGAAGTTCAAAACTTACTGACAGTGAAAATTTGAAAAACTATTTATGTTATATTGGAATTACAGAAGATAAGCAATATTATAGCAATAGTATTCTGTTGATTAGCTGGGATCAGATACCTGTAACATGGTTGCACTAGTATGACTGACAGGTCATAGGCATCTGTGCAATGTTGAAGTTATACAAAAAAATGCAAACTAACATTAGGCAGTGCAAATCCAAGATAAGTTCTTGTGGCTGTATAAATCTGTAAACTGAAAAAACTAAAGCCCACTTGAGAAGACCTGAGTAAAAAGATAGCACAGATCTTTAACAATACTATTGTAAAAGCTAAACTTAGAAAATGAATATCAATATGAAAGGAATCAGACAAGCAAAAACCTCAAATAAGGATTACCACCAATCAGGCTGCTAAAAGTCTCAAAAGAACCTTAAGGGCAGACCCTAAGATACTAAAAACAGGTCATAGTTCTATTAGGCTATCTGGATTGAAAATCTGAGATCAGAAGCAGAAGTATATTATAAGTACTAAGGATATGCTATGAAGTCATTGCTAGGGTCTGGATAAACTCTGCAAGGATAAGTCCTGTTAATAAGAAACTAAATGTAAGTAGTTAGTTAGCAAGAAGGCCTCTTGAAACCCTACAGTTAGGTGACATACTTTGAAATATGTAACAGCTTGACAAACATATAGACAGAAAGGTTATGATTAGGTTAAACAGCACTTAGATATACAAGAACTTGTATGCTATTAGTCAGTATAAGTATAAAAATCAAAGTGTTTAAATAGG